GGACTGTCCACTCACCATTCCTCTGCTGATGCCAGCTTGACGGAGCCTATTGCGCCATTGTAGGAAGTAGATTAGCCACTCCTGGCAGGAGGCTGGATGACAAGCTCCTTTGCCAGGCCACAGAATGGTTAATCCATTGCGGACTATGACACGATAGGAAGGCTTTGTTGAGCTGGTGTCAGCGAAGGAATGGTGAGTGGACCCTGGGTTACCCCAGATAGGAACCATTATGTTAGAGGAACATTTAAATTACATTACACCTACCAAATCATCGTGGACACAGGTACAAGCATGTCAGTCGTTTAGCATATAGCTGAAGCAGAATGTGAACATGAGTGCAATATTATACCGTCGTGATTCCCACCTTTGGGGGGATATTGGTATACGAATACCCCATCTCTACATGAAATGGTATCTAAAAGTGAAAGGTAGGAAACTTATTGGATTTCTAAGTACACACAGTAGGAGCTGCAGCTGCTGATGGACAACCTGCTGGTTTCATGTTGGTAATGTCTTGGCATCTTGTCAACCAGCTGTGGCAACTAATTTTCTGCTGTGTGCACTTGAAAGGATTTTGTTTTAAGTGTTTAAACTTCATTGTAAAATGTGTATAATACGGCAGCCATGTTCGCAGTCTGTCTTCAGCTATATGCTAAACAACTGGTGTGCTTGTACCTGTGTCCACGATGATTTGGTAAGTGTGATGTAATTCAAATGTTCCTCTAACATAGTTGTTCCCACCTTGGGTAACCCAGATGTTCTTGGATTGTAACTTCCAAAAATTCTGGCCACCACATCTGGTGGTGAAGGCATCCAGTGAGGGATGTCCAAGAACACCTGGGTTACCTAAGAATGGGAACCACTGCTCTAACACATTCACTGAAACCCTCCTCAGCTGTGCTTCTGTCAAATTGCTCTAGAAAGGCAAGGGCCATATCTGTTACCTTGACAGGGTGTTGTGAGCATAGGTCTCTCTCTGCCCTGAAAGGATGTGGTCTAAAACATCCTTTTTGCCCAAGGGACACCCTCATAGACTTGCAGTATACAGATCATATACTTTGCCCATCATGTTCTGCTCAACTTTTAACTCTAAACTACCAAGAAATAGTTCTGTTTGGCAGGAAATGTTAGCTGGGCATGTTGCACTAAGATGTTTGAGGCAAGGGAAGTGTTCTAGAGTTGCATATGTTTGATCTATAAGCAAAACTGCTTATACTACTCTGCAGTAGGTCTGGGCAACCGTGTTCCTCCAGATGTTACTAGACTTTAGCTGTTATAATCTCTCACCATTGGTTGCAGGACGTGGTGGCTCTGTGGGCTAAACCGCAGAAGCCTGTGCTGCAGGGTCAGAAGACCAAGCAGTCGTAAGATTGAATCCACACGACGGAGTGAGCGCCCGTTGCTTGTCCCAGCTCCCGCCAACCTAGCGGTTCTAAAGCATGCAAATGCGAGTAGATAAAAAATCTGGTCTATAAAGTAAAAATGTAATAACTTTCAGTATAGATTTACAAATGTATTATAAAAAATTAGTTTATACTGTCATGATGTTTGCACAACTAAGCTGATCTGGGCACTTTTCAGTTGTCTGTAAACTAATTTATAGCAGGGATGGTAAGATTTCAAACTTGGAGGACATAATGTATGTTTTCACTGGAACCTCAAGAGCCACTAGTTGGATCCTGGTACAGAAGACAAGTTTTTAGAATTAAACAAGGCTGTTGCTTAAGGAATAGCGCTCCCAGCCTTTTCACACAAGAATCTACATGCTTTTATTTCAGCAGTGTAAATTGGTGGTAGTTATAGTTGCTGCTGCTAAACATTTGAGTCAGAAATCACTCATTTAGTTTAGATGACGCAGAGATCTCTTGGTAAATATGAATCTATCTTCTTCCTAACATTGCTTCACAAGAAAATAGCTGTCCTATACATATGGGAGTAAATACCTGAATTTAATGGAGTTTCTGTCAAATAAACCTGCATAGGATTGTGCTGAAAATATACAAGTTTCTCCAGGAGGATTCTGATTTAATGAGTTTTTCTCTGCAATGTTAGCCAGTTTAACTGGTTTTGTAGAAGTGCAAAGTTTGTCTTGGCTTTCTGGTTTAAATACCACATTCTTCAATCTGTTGCAGGGATCTTTGGAGATAACACAGAGTATGGATGATGACCCTCTACTTGAAGAAGCCCTCCTTCCATTTCAGGCATTGAATACTACATCACTTCTACAGTTTTACAGAATCCCTACAGTCTGTGTTGCCAATACTTTGTTGTTCTTGCATGTAAGTTGTAAGATATTTAGGTAATGAGGCACAGAAGCCACCAAGCTAGGCGCAAAGGGTCACTGTTCCTCATAGCTGAACAAGCAAATAAGTGTGCCCATCTCTTTCCAGCACCACTTGCAGTAGCACCTGAGCAACAGAAAAAGTGTTCCAGGCAGCTGTGCCAGTTCTGCTGCTTTGTGTGGAGATAGTAGGGAAATCTATCTGGATCTCCTTTGAGCCCTTTTCATTTTTGTATCATTGTAGTGCATCACTACTTCTCCCATGTTGCTTAAATCAAAGGAGACAGCAATTTTCCCCTCTCTTTCCAGCACCACTTGCAGTAGCACCTGAGCAACAGAAAAAGTGTTCCAGGCAGCTGTGCCAGTTCTGCTGCTTTGTGTGGAGATAGTAGGGAAATCTATCTGGATCTCCTTTGAGCCCTTTTCATTTTTGTATCATTGTAGTGCATCACTACTTCTCCCATGTTGCTTAAATCAAAGGAGACAGCAAGCATCATACTTGCAGACTCCAGGTCAGCAGCTGGACTTTAAAAAATTGAAACCATTCATCATTTTACTCTCACCTTGGAATCTCTGCTGGTTCGTTGGAGGGAAGACTTATCAGTTACTCAAGATAAGCGCAATGATAGTCTTTTGTGGGATGTGAAGGTAGACCAAAAGGCTACAGTGATCCCAAGGGCAGAGCTTTGTTTTTCACATGGAAGAAAGAAAATGTTGATCAGTCTGTATACCGAGTTTCTAGATAACTAATAGTTATCTCATAGGGCAAGATAGAGCTTAGAAGAATTTTTTTTGGATGACAAAAGCCAGAATGCCCCCACTCAGCGTGCCCGCTTAAAGCTGTAGTGCAAAACAATTTTTCCCAAGTTCAGAGCCTGGTAACGGACCCTAGACAGTGAAAATCAAGCTTGTACAATGCTCTGCACTTGGTGGATCCATACCAGTACTGTATTAGAAAGGTGAAGTAAGGCCACACTGAGCTGAGAAAGTTACTTTTGTATGCTCAAAATTCCCCATACATGCCAAACAATGCTGCTTTGTTTAAGGGGGAAAACTTATCCACCCAAAATCCATCTTCCAGGAAGGGTTAGGTGCAAATCCTGTCCCGTGAAAACAGAGCAAAAATGCTGTAATGGTACCAAAAGTGGGTGGGAATACTAATCCTGTGACATGCTCAAACTTGGGGACAAATGTTCACTACTTTCCCTGATTGTCTGTGGAGCAAAGGAAAGGCTGAGCCCCCTGAAACTGACAGGTTCAATTAAAATTGTTTTTTTTAAGTAGCAAAACTTGGTTTTAGCGATGCTGTAGTTCCTGCAAACACTGATGTTTTGCTTCTCCTGTTTCTTATTCTCCCTTAGGTTGCTTTTGTTGTTTTAGCTTTTGTGGTAGGTATGTATTGTTATTCTGAATCAACTGCAGAGACGTGTCCTGGATATTACACTTTCCCACTTAAGGTGCAGACGGCTATCATAATTGCCAAGGTAATCCTCTGGATCCTTTATGTGTTCCTTGAAGAATATATTCATTTCTACCATCACAAGGTCAGACGCAGAGGTTACTTTCAGATTTACCGAACCACAAGACATCTTAAAAGACTTCCACTACTAATCCAGTCTACAGGTGAGCCAGAACTTTTTCTTTGTTCATTATTGCCCATGTCATGTCTTCAAAATGTGAATCTGCAAGTATTAACAATTTTCACAGTTGTGATAGAAGAGATCCAGTTTGATAGACGGTGCTCTTGTCTGGTTAAAATAGGTTGAAGCATCCAGAATGAAACTAGGCTTATCAGTTGCTAGGCTACTGTCTTCAGTTTTAAAAACAAGCTTACATGGATGTGCTTATTGTGATTTTGTTAATAACTTTCACATTGGAAGTTTCTATGTAGTTAGTCTAGCTGCCTATCTCTGTGTCAAGAAGTAGCTGACCTTTCAGTTTACCTAAATGCATTATAGAGTGGTCACAAGACCAGATAGGTGGGATATAAATAGAATAAATAAATAATAGCTGGCTAGATAGCTCAGTGGTTGTAACCAGAGGTTGGGAGTTTGATTCCTCAGAGGCACCCTGTGTGGCCTTGGGCAAGCTGGTTACCCATGGAAGAAAATAATGATAAACCAATGGTGGTTGTGGGTTTTTCGGGCTCTTCAGCCGTGTTCTGATGGTTGTTCTTCCTAACGTTTCGCCAGTCTCTGTGGCCAGCATCTTCCAAGGACAACTCTCTGTGCTCTCCAGAGCACAAAGTGCTGTCCTCTAAAGATGCCGGCCACAGAGACTGGCAAAACGTTAGGAAGAACAACCTTCAGAACACAGCCGCAGAGCCTGAAAAATCCACAACAACCATTCGATCCCAGCCGTGAAAGTCTTCGCGAATACAATGATAAACCACTTCTGCGTATTCTATACCTGGAAAACCCTGAGAAGGGTTACCATAAGTCAGAATTAACTTGATGGCATGATTTGATAGCATATAAAAATGATTTATAGAAAAGGCTTTTTCTTGAGTACCCTATTAGCAGCAGCTGGAGGTTTAGTAAGGCCTTAGCCCCTAACTGAAACAGTTAAGTCTTGAGCTGATGCTGCAGAAAAAATAAGAAGTTCACTGTGTAGACAATAGAGTGGATAAAAATCAATTATTAAATTTTAAAAACCAAATTGATTTTAAAAACCATATTTTAAAATTTAAATTTTCAAAAAAAAACCCTCTAATTTTTAAATTTAAATCATGATCAGTGTGATTTAAATCAAATCCACCCTGGTATGCCATACATTCATTTTGACTAAATGCTGGCAGGACAAGGTGATATTCCTTGATTTTATTTAGTTAAGGGAAAATTAATTGGGAACAGTTTGTACTTTAAGTTGGCCTTTAAATAAGCAGCATTTCTTTGGTTATTACCGTGTTTCCCCGAAAATAAGACAGGGTCTTATATTAATTTTTGCTCCAAAAATGCATTAGGGCGTATTTTCAGGGGATGTTCTATTTTTTTTCATGTACAACAATCTGCGTTTATTCAGATGCAGTCATGTCATCTGGTTGCTGCACAGTGGTGGAGGGCAGGCTTTCACTTAACTAGGGTTTATTTTTGGGGTAGGGCTTATATTACGAGCATCCTTCAAAATCATACTAGGGCTTATTTTCAGGGAAACAAGGTAGTATTCAAAGGGATATCTTCTAAAAATACAGCAAACCCTTCTAGGGTTTTTTAGGTATAAAGTATTCAATAGTAGTTTACTGTTCATTTCTGGGGACACTTTGAGATTTTGCAGCTTGCCAAAAGCTACACAGGCTGGCTGTTCTTCCTGGGAGTACAGTTGGGAATCAAATTCTGGACTTCTGATTCTTCAGCCAGTACCCAGCTCCCTTCAGTATCCAGCCAACTGAAGCATATTTTAAAATATGACTCTCTGCATTTGCTACTTAACTAAAATATGACTGGAGGCTTAGTTTATTAATATTTATTGCTTAAATTTATGTTCCTTTACTTTTGCTATTGAGTTCAAGGTCATGTAGATGGCTCTTGCCCTGTCCCAGTTTATTCTAATGACTACAAGAAAGATTAGGCTGAGATTAGCTGATTGAAAGTCCCCTGGTGATTTTTATGGCTCAGGGGTGACCTCCCAAGTTTCCATCTGACATCCTGATCACTACAGCGCACTGGCTGTTATCTCTATTAAAAATTCCTTGCAAATTTGAGCTGTACACAGTACTGGTCAAGACAGTACTTCTCAGATGGGCCATTAGTGACAACTATGAATGAACTTTTTGATAGGTAACTGGATTGCTGAAATAAAATTCTGCAGTCATCCAAATATGCATACTTTTAAAACATCAAAACTAATATTTGTGGTGATATATTTACTTAATTGGTTAACAGTCCCATCAAGAGTTTACTTCCAGTCTCTTTCCCAACTGCCTATTCTCAAGTGGAAGAAATTAATCATCCACCACATATGTGTAAGGAAGAAATAGGTGTAGTTCTTCTGTGTCCCTTCCGGACGATGTGTCAAGAGTCCTCCCTCAACTTTGTTCTTTGAAGTTTCCTTTCTTTGCGAGAGTATAGTACCATAGGAGCCTTGTGGTGCAGTGGTTGAACTGCTGTACTGCAGCCAAAACTGTGCTCACTACCTGGAGTTCAATCCCAGGCAGCAGGCTCAAGGTTGACTCAGCCTTCTATCCTTCCAAGGTCGGTAAAATGAGTACCCAGCTTGCTGGGGAGGCAATGTTTAGCCGGCATAATTAACTTGTAAACCACCCAGAGAGTTCTTGAAGCACTGTGGGGCGGTATATAAGCAGCACGCTTTGCTTTGCTTTAATTTAATTTAACTTGATTCTGGGGAAATGTTAGTGCAGACATGCACATGCAATTCACTTTCATTGAAAAAGAAATTGGATTAAGTTGCCATTTTCTGTTAGTGAATTTCCCATTTACTTGACGATTTCATTGATTTTAACAGTTAGTTCACATTACTGCTCTTATTCTATTGTCTTGTTAACAGTAATTCACTTCATGTTTCTTTTGGAAGAGAAACATGATTTTAGGATCTGTGGTAGCAAATGGGAGTAGTAGGGGGGCAGTTGCCACCCTACCTTGCCACACTTGTTGAAGGTCAAAATGTTTGCATTAAAGTGGTACTCATACATGCATAATAGAGAGTCTCTTTACATGAGAAGTATGGTCTCTTTTGATGGATGTTGGTTAACTACATGGGAATTAATAAAATCCAGGCATGAAGCTGTTCTCTGTAATTCTTTTTTTTTTTTTTGCTAGCAAAATAGATTATTTGTTTAGGGCGGTATCCTATTACTTACATATACGGGCATAATTGCAACAGCATAAATCTCAGTGCTGAATTTCTACTGTTTAAGGATTCACTGTTTGCATTCCTTGTTGTGTGCCAAGTCATATAAATGGAATATGAAGAGTATACCTGGCATCTCCTTAACTATGGACAATTTATCACATATTTATGCCATTGAACACATGGCAGCACAGATAAGTAATAGGATTCTTGTCTTATTTATGTAATGGAGATCAATAGTCACAACCTTGAACAGGGCAGAACTTACAGCAGGTACTTCAAATTAAGGGATAGCTGAATGAATAGTGAGACAAATCTTTGATTTAACTGCTGCCACAAATAATGCTAAAACAGAGGTATACAGTTGTAAAGGACCACCAAGATCATCCAGTTCAACCTCATATTGTAAGGGTGACCTTCTTGTGTCTGCTTAAATCTAAGAATCTACTGCTTTTTGTGGCAGTGTTCCATTATTGAATAGGCTGTAATGTCAAGAAGTTTTCCTAATGTTTAGCAGATATACCCTTTGTTTTTAACTAAGCCTACTAGTCCAAATCACACCATCTCTGGACCAAGAGAAACTAAATTTTGCTCTATCACTTATCCTAGCTCAGTGATCTTATCTCCAAGCATAAAAAATAAGTCAGCTCCATCAGTGTATAACAAAAGGTAACTGGAATATCAGGAAGGAAAGAATTTTTAAAATAATGATTCTCTTATGAATATTATATTTTTAAGAATTAATCATACACAATGTATATTTGTATTGTCTGGCCTGTTGATTGTAATAATGGAATTGGATCAGGAAGGAAATAATATTTCAATGATAATTCTTCTGTTAGAGCAAATTACCTTCAAGCACATGCTGTATTTAAACATGATGTACCATGGTATTGATGTGGTTCCAGGAAGAATAGCAAAGTCATACTGAAAATTCCTCAGACTTTAGTTTTGAAGTGCAGCTTGCCCAGTACACCTGATGCTACAGAGTTCTGGATCAATACTGTCCTATATCTGAAGTTTTTTTTCCTTATTGGTCTTTCAAGATGAAGTATATGGTGTGATATGTCAAGAAAAATGGTATTCACTGTGAGCCTGCATTTATTACTGTCATGTAGTTAAGCAGTAATTCATGTTATCAAACTAAAAGGCATTTAAGACATTTACAAACCTGCCTTTTGTCCGTGACTCTCCTCCAGCCAAGTTTTATCCACACTAGAACCCTATGAAGTAGGTCAGGGTAAGGGAACAAGTGGCCTAAAGTTACTCAGTGGATTCCATTGCTAAGTGGAGACTTGAACCTACACCACATATATCCTGGCCGAACACTAAAATAATGATAAAATATTCAGATTGCTCTGCTGTAGCTGCACTACTAAGATGTGGCCACTAGATAGCGCTCTGTTTATGAAAGATAAAAGAGGATGAAGCAAGCCACAGCACACAGATTTTGTAGAGGTGATGGATTTTCTTGCATAATCAAAAGAATACTGCACAGGGCAGTTGACAAACCATCCAATGCATCTGTGAAGAGGCTAGCCACCATTGTTTTTTAAAGTAATATCAGCCCATTCTTGTTATGGTTAAACACTAACTGGCATACAATAGCCTTACTTAGCGTGATGCTTGTTACTTCTGAGAACTTCTATATGGTACTGTAACTCAAACTATCAAGAACAGCCAAGCTATTCATGGAGTATGAGCAGCAGAGAATACTTCTGTACAATGCCCCCCTTTCCCATCATGTAGATGGATAATAGGTGGTGGTATTGGTGTTACTGTTTTTTTTAAAAAACAAAATTAAATTGTACTGGTTATTTTAAATTCAACAGGGGGGAAAACACAAAAATCCATATTATGACCCCCAAGTAACTTACAGGCAATCTTATTACTTGCAGTTCTTGCATGCTCTGGTTCCATGTATAGCTTTTGGGGGCCCTTTTTGAGCCACTTTTAATCATTCTCTAGACATTTCCATTTCTGATGTGCTCCTTTTCTTTTCATAGGTAATGCAGCATTACTCCTGGTTCTGTCGGCACAACATTCCTTTCCTAATCACAATAAAATGTATATTTATCTCATCTTGGGAATCCTGAGCTTGGAACTAATATGTTCAATGATTTGTGTTGTTATCTATACAGGTAAGAATTGTGTCCTTGTCTTGCCTAGACAATATTGCTTATAATGGCAATTCCCCTCGATTCCTTTTTTCCCTTCTCTGAGGTGCACTGTTAGGAAATATAATATGCTATTATGGGTTAAGCAGTTGATAGTTAATGTTGCATGAGACTGTGATACCAATCTTCCTCCCTTATTCTGTGGAATATCAACTGAATAAATGCTAGTGTGTATTTAAACGTTTTGAGAAGAAAACAAGGACACTAATAATTTGTTCAGCATTTATAATGTTGGACAGTTGCAATAATCTTTAGAAATACTCAGGCACAGTTGCTTACATGATGCTAAAATATCTTCTCTGCTGCTCTAGCCCAAGGGCTTGGGGCAGTTTTGAGCACAAAAAAACAGAACTCACAAAATGCAGCTGTTGATATAGAAATCCCACGCTTGGCAGTGAGAGCCATCTTTTGTGGCAGAGCAGCTGTTTCGAGGGGTTTCTTGCCTGGCACTGATATGCAGCTCCGTCTCTGGCTCCATAGTGTAAAGCTCCTCATTTTTGTACACATGGTTGTTGTAGAAAGGGAGCAACTGCTGCTTATAAGAGATGTGCAAAATTTGCTGGACCAAATGAAACTCAAGCCTGATGTGAGAGTTTTAAAGTCTTTCAGTTTTCTTCTTGGGAACAAAGAAGCTAAAGCTGCCAAACAAGACAAGGTTGGCAGTGATACTGAATCTTGATACAGTATGGAAAAAACAGAAGGCATGAACATCGTAGTTTCTGGTTTTTAAATAAGGGCTGTTGTCTTCTAGCAGGCTGAATTTGATTTAAATCTCTTTGATTTAAAGAAAATCATTGATTTTTATCCACATTGGTTTTGTGTAAGCACAACATCTCTGGGTATGAGTAAACAATTTGTAAAACTTTTTCTGCTTATGTTAAGACAAGATAATTGATTTTATGGCTCTGATTTTTGCTGTTCTGAGGGTTCAGCACAGATTTAGATCTACATGCTGAATCTCCTTGCTTCCCAGTAGAATATACCAAACCATCCTGTGCCATGTTAGACTGCCCAGCCTTGTCAGCCTTCAGTCTTGGGGGCTCTCCAACCACTTTCAAAAGCCAGCATGATGTCACAGGGAAGACAGACATGCCTGGCTAGATAGAGGTGGGGAACCTTTTATCCTCTAAATATTTTGGCTTACAGATTTCATCCCCAACATAGATGGCCTATGGTAAGGGATTATGGGAATTTTACTCCCAAACATGGGTGTCGATGGGGAGGGGCCAGTATTTCCTTTCGTTAAGTTACATGCATATGTAAAATTGAATCCTGTTCACCCAGTCTGAGTCTTGTCTTTGATTCAGTACATTAGGAAAACGGGAATATGCAAGACATTTCTGAAGGAACGTAGCCATTTTCCAGTTATCTTTTGTTTATACATATTTTAAAAGTGGAATTGGAAGCTCCCGCTTTCATTTGGGCTTAACCTCAAAATGTCTGTTTTTGACTTGTGTTGGCAGCACCATTAATACTACCCCTGGATCACAGCATACCAAGGGTTTAGAGTTGGTTCTATAGAGTTTTGGCTATATAAGGCTTCATGCAAAGTACTTCGCTTTATTCCAGCATTGGAATGGTTACTTGTCTGTTTTACTTTGTATGGTCACTGTGCCCCTCCCACCTTTCCAAAATTGTTCAAAATTGCATATCTGATTTAGTATATCTGTCCTTTGGGAGACTTGGTGGTTTCCAGTGGCTTGGGATGTATGTTGCAGGTCTTGTTTAAGTGACTAAAGAAGCTTTACATTATAGCTTCTTTGACACATCTGCTTTGGCTATGCATCTGATCAGTCATACAACCTGCTTGTACACAGCAGGTGGGCTGGTAGAGGAGTTCTGGGGGAGAGAGAGGAAGAAATGGCCTATTCACAAGGAGTTGCTGACTGAGTAAATGAAAATGAAGCACTGTGTTGACATGGGAACTCTTTTCTTTCAAAGGCAAGAAGCTGTTCCAGGATATTCACTTGTTACCATCTTCTGCTTAAGAAATCAACCGAATTCAAACAACTACATTTAGAATAGGAATTCCTTCCTTTTTGAGGAAGCGAAGTGGGGGTGCAATGAATGATAGCCTATAAACGTAGCCTTATTTTGCCTTTTTATTATATTTTCAATGCTGTAAGCCACCCAGAGACCTTCTGGTAGTGTGGGCGGCATATAAGTTAAACAAACAAACAAACCCTTGAGTCTGTTGTTGCTTACAGTATATATGTTGATGCTTTTATTTTGTTACTCTTCTTTTAATGACTGTTCTTATATTATTTTAACCATTAGTTATTCTGTTTTCTTGGTGAATAGAAGGATTTAAAATTTTGTATCTAAAATAAAATAGTTTTTATTTGAATCTTGGTTTCTGCAATGTCAAACTACACAAATAATTTTTTTCTTTTCTGCTCCCAGTAAGGGTAAGCAACTTTAACCGGGCAAAACCAAGACCTGATGTAATAGAAGAAGAGAAGAAGTATGTTTATCATGAGCCTATCATCTCAGAAGTAGGATTCAGGTAGTCTCTGCTGTTGGTCATTATTCCTATAATACCAGTTAACATATGCCATTTAGGGAAATGTGATGGTTGAACAACTAGAAACTTGATATCTTTGTAGATATCAGAGTGTTGTGTTACATCACTATTAATCCTAGTGATATGTGTGTAATCTAGTCCTGTTGTGGTTAATAAGTCATTTTGGACTACACTTGTGTGTTTTCGCAAACTGCACCAAAAGAGATGGTAGGAACTATGAGTGGACCTCTGTCCAAGATTTCTGAAGCTACTTTAGCTGCCTCTGGGGTTTCATGGCAAGTATTGTTGCTCTTTGTGATGCAAGAGGTTGACAGAATGGCACCTTTTGTGTCTTCATGCCTTCTGGAAGGGCAAAGGGACATAAGGGATTTTGCAGCAGCACCAAAGCTCAGTGGTACTGGTTTCATGAGGAAAGAATGAAAAATGGCTGGGTCACTTACATACCAGCTACATGTTGCAGGCCAGTATAAAACCTGCTAATCTCAACTAATTAATTGCTGGGCAAAGGTTCCTGTATCCTTCTGATCCTGATGGTTTCATGTGATATTGGCAAATGTAGGGTTGGAGAGCTCAAAGGTGAAGACAGTAGAGCAAGTGCTGACAATCACTTTCAGATGGATAGAAAAGTGAAACGTAAAGCTGCAAGTGACTTCCTATGGGATTTTTGCCTTTCAGGGCTACCTCAAGCTTGGAAGAAATAGTTGAAAAGCAAGGAGATGTGATTGTGTTCCTTCACCACCACAATGCCTTGCTGAGCAAGAGATTGCTGGCATTAACATCTCCACAGAGCAGACGCTGAGGCGACGAGAAAATTGGCTGAACAGTGTAAGAAGCGCTGCACCTACGGACACCTTTCTGAAAGTAGAAGACATACCTTCTCGAACTTTTGGACAGATTTTTTTGGACCTCTCCTGGCTTGGTGCTAAAGCCTTGATTTTTAAAAGACACTTATTTTAATTCCCCCCCCCCCCTAAAATTCCTTCACAACAAAGTGATACAAGGCAAAGGAAACTTCTCTTCCTGAGTTCAGTTGTTGCTGAACTGCAACTAAATTGCCAAAGATCTTTGTGGTGGTTTGGGATTCAGTCCATTTCCGAGACAATGTGAAGAAGTCTCTGTGTTTGTACTGTCGTTAATGGAGCCATCACATAAAGCATCCAGAAAGAATTGTACTTCTATTGAGAGGGACAAAATCACTGTGACTCTTGTAGAGAGGTTAGTGGGAAAGTGAGAGGGGTCCTTACAGTACTGTCACATTTTAAACTTTATGATTCGGTGAGATTGCGCCAGTGTAGACAACAGGTAGCACGAAAGTCAGTGGGCCCATCCAAAAGGGAGAATGGAAGGAAGGCCCTATACAAGTAATAAACAGAATTGGAAGATTCAGTAGCTAGTCCAGAGCAGTTGTGTAGTTATGTGAAATATTTCAGTCTGATGTTTATGATTGTGCAGTTGATGAGCCATGGAGTAAAGAAACCTCTGGTTATAAACAAGGAAGTATGACTCATTTTCCACCTCCCAGTTTTCAGTACCTTTTTTCAGTTCTTTCTCCAGCTTCAGCAACTGCTTTTGAATCTTTGCTCTTTTATCTTTGAGTAAGTTTCTCCCTCTGGTTAGAAGTCTGCTTGGATCTGTTTCCGCCCCCACCCACCCAAAATCAGTGACCCAATCCTAGACAGTTTTCCATTTGTGGACATTATCATAGAGATTTTTTTTTCAGAAACATCTTTCATTTTCACAAGAAGATCCTGGATTGTGCAGAATTTTGGAAATGTATTAAATCAAATTAAACTTTTATAGAAAAACCTCCTTCCATCACTTAAAATTTCCTACATTTGTAAAATGGACATATTTTAGTGTACATTATAATGTTACTCCTTAAAAGCCAGGTGGCTCTCTCAGCCCACACAAAGTGTATATGTTCACGTCTGCTTTGGCTGCATGGTTTCTCAATTCCACTGAAGTCTGCAAGGTGCCAGTTGTTGGGCTTTTGAGTTTCGTATCCAGCTTGAAACAGCTGTCGTTTCTCTGCTGCACCTCTGTACTGCTGATAGGCTGTGTTTCGTTGTCAGTATTACAGCAAGATGGCTAACATGTAAACAAACAGAAGTATCTGAACATATGACCTCATCCATATTTTCAGAAAAGCAAATACATGCCATCCTGCTGTATTTTATATTAACTACTTGTTGATTCGCTGTTCAGTGAAACATCTATATCGCACTCTGAGGGACAACCCAGAAACACTGCTTCTAACACTAATATGTTCTTGGTTTTTAAGCTGTGCATTAAATACAGCTGTTATTTTTATATGGAAACTGAGGAAGAACTATGAATTACTTTCCTTTAAAGTTTACTCAATTTTGATGTGATTTTGTATGTACCTCATCCTATATTTTGTAATAAATGTAACAATAAAAGCAAAAAAAAAAAAACTCCACTGGTAGTCATTAATCATTAATTATTCCCAATTAGAGCTGGAGATCTTTGTGCCCTTGCAGCGAGGTGGAACCTAGAAAAAATGTCCTTGTCGGTAGTAAATACAGATTTGTACATTAATTTTGATTTTGCTGCTGAGCAGCAAAAGTTGAAGATACATGCCTTATAGAGGTTCTCAAACTTTTTGTCATGTCCTGGCTCCTTGGTTTTCATGAATCCCTTATGCCCCCATTTTTAATATTTATTTTTCATGAGCACCTAACATAAGTTTATTCACATATTTGGTACATATAGGGAAATAGAAACATTCATAAAAAACTTTAGTATTGTATTTTATCGACACTGTTCAAGTCAGTCATAATTTAACCAACACTTACATAATGTATATCACAAAAACACATTGTAGTTGAATTTTTTAGTTTCAGCCGAGTTAAACTTGAAAATATATCCTCATAACCTCAAGTTACCCAGTTACCACCTTCTTGTGTGTGTGCGTGCAATTTCAGAACCAATGCATTAGAAAGTCAACATTACTTTCAGTCAAGGGAATTTAGAGCATCTAGCCAATAACTTGTCCATCATGTGTATCTCTTCCGTGTGTTAGTTGCATCTTAATATCTGTGGAGCAGCCGTGTATCTTCTAGAACAAGGGTCCCCAACCCCCGGTCCATGGCTTTGGCTGGACCGGGCTGTAGAGACAGATCTTCTGTCCCCCTGCACACACTCCCCCCACATGCCCACCTGCACAGCCCCTTTGTACAGTTGTGTGAGTGTGCGTGCATGCCCCACAAGCACCACCGCCCATTCGTGCATGTGCATGAGTGCCCCACCCCTGTGCATGGACCCCATTCCCTCAACCATTCTGCGGTATCAAAAAGGTTGGGGACCACTGTTCTAGAACTTGTGTTCATCCCTTTCAGTTGCTATAAACCAGATGCCTTGGTGTCCTTTGAAGGATGAGACAAACTGAGATTCCTCCTGAACCAAACTGCAGGGCCACCATCCTTCCACTGCAACCATTAGAGCAGAATTTCGATTTGTAACACATCATTATTAATAGCCTGACCTTTCAAAGGCCTTCCCATTTCATTCCATAAATGTTCTGTGGTACATTAGATAAAGTGTATGAATTGTAGATCTCTTGTAACTTTTTAACCATCTTCCCTTAAAGAACTGTAGCAGACCTGAATCCTGAAACATTCGTCCTTAAAGTTATTTTTCTTTCAGGTTATGTGAGCCAAAAAGACTTTGTTGCCTGCAAGAGAACAGCAGAACATATCCCTGAAATGCAGATAGTATTTAGACAGGTGATCAAAGTTGTTTTTGTATGACCTGAGAAATCATATGAATTAAGGTTGGAAAAGAAACATGAGATTAGTCTGCCTCTTCAACCTTATTTTTGCTCTACTCCCAGTTGAGCTGTCCTAGCTAAGTGAGTTGGAGTGCCTGGCTGTAGGGCTGGGAGTGGAAATCCCTGTGGTGCTGCCAGATCAACTGAGATCACCCATATGTCTGATGTGGTTACATGAACTTCCAATTTTCCGCCTTGAGGCCTGCACCAGTCCCAGGGTGCCACAACAGAGGTTTATGTGCCGCCATCTTTGAATTGTGGTGATCAATGAATCGCCTCCAGAAGGCCCTATCACCAGCCACTTTATTCATGTTTTGCAAACTAAAGGCTAAGATTTACTTTTATTGAGTCAATTGATCTCATGTTTAAGTATTTTCTTGTCTTCAGTATTTTCCCACCATTCTTGGGTGAAATCTTATTAGCATAACTTTGCACAGCGTAACCAGATCAGATGCCAGAAGCATTTAAAAGTAATTAAAAGGTGCCCCGTTTATCACTTTAACAGTTTATCTGGCACATTATTATTAATATCCTTACTTTTTTGTACTAAGGCCATTTAGAGAATCATTTTTGCCCTAGGGAAGCATTTGGGAGTCTCAGAATAAAAGAGGGGGACTTCAGTAGTAAAAAAAAAATTGCCTGATCACTGCTGGCCTTATTAAATCTGGAGGCAGCAATCTACCCTGTTTCCCTTAAAATAAGATCCAACCTGAAAATAAGCCCTAGTATGATTTTTCAGGATGCTCGTAATATAAGCCCTACCCCAAAAATAAGCCCTAGTTAAGTGAAACCCTGCCCTCCACCATTGTGCAGCAACCAGAAGAAGATGACATGACTGTATTTGAATAAATGTAGATTGTTGTACATGAAAAAAAATAAAACATCCTCTGAAAATAAGCCCTAGTGCGTTTTTGGAGCAAAAAATAATATAAGACCCTGTCTTATTTTGGAGGGAAACAGAGTAGTAGCATTTTTATTATTAAAGCCCCTGCCCCCGCTGCTTTGAACTGTCAAAGACTTCCCCTGTGTAAAAGAGAGCTCTAGGGTGTCTCAGAATCTTGAATTTAAATGCTTCCGGCACCTCATCTGGAATATGCCAGCACAAAGTTACACAATATGTTACTTGTTTTCCCGGTGGGTCATGTCTTATCATGATATGCCCAAAGTACAATAGTCAGTTTTAGCTTCTGATGAAAGTTGAAGCTTGACTTCATCTGGTACCTATTTGTGTCTCTGAAGGTCTAAGATTTGCTCCAATACCACACTTCCAGTGCATTGTCTTTTTTTGGTTTCCTGCTTTCTTCATAGCCAAGCTTCAACATTTGTACATGGTAAATCAGAATGCCATAGTGTGGATGATCTTGGCTGTAGTCTCCAATGTTACAGCCACCAGAAGGAGAGACTCGTAAACCACCTTTGAGTACTGTACATCTAGAAAACCTTGGGACTCACCACGATGGAGTCAACCTTGCAGCACATGGTTATTATTGTACCCATTTAGGTTGCTAGCAATTGAAAGCCAAAATTCTCTAAACCTGACTTGTTTGGTACATAAATGCTGGTAGAATTTCATCCCATCTTGAATTGGTGGAATTAAAGAACAGAGCAGAATTGAATTCTTGCATTTATTGACTCAGGGACACAAGCGTTTAAATAGGTTTTGTGCCCTGTAGATGAGTATTGTGTAGAAATAAGATTTAGCAAGGGAAATAGTCTTTTCATGGGAAATCTTTCATATGTAAATATGAACAAAGTTTTTTCAAAACATGGCTTGTCTTAATCTCTAAGAAATATATAAAAAGATGCCAAGATTTTTTTTTTCAAAAAGGTGACCCAGTTCATTTTAAGATCTTCTTTTTAAAGGATGCTGACAATTCCTTTAAGAAAAGACAGCCTAAAGAGTTGACATTTTTGAAGCATAGCATTGGTTAATGTCAATATATATATATATATATTCTGAATTTTTTGATGTCATCTTTCTGATTCCCCCCCCCCTTTGTGAGTTGGTGCAGTTTTTGTTACCGGACTAGTCTTCCTTTAAAAAAACAGCTATGCCACATTGTTTCCATGTGAATGGAGTCTCCTCAAGATGTCTCTTTTCCATGGACAGGTCATTAAAGAGACATGCTATCTGGCAGGATAAGGCTATCACTAGTCTAATCCTGAGATAACCCAAGAGGGATAAAAGTAGTGTCACTGTGGGAACCAGTTAAGTGCTGCGGATGCATTACAATGTCTTTGGAAGCAGAGCTGGCCAATTAATTAATTGCTCTTCCTGTGTGTAAATATTAGACTATGGAAACTCAATAGGGAAGCAAACTGAAGCAGGTGCCAGTTGGGTTTTCCTTGGCTTGGTGGCGGCTGGGGGGAGGGGGGGAGATATTTGATGTTTTCCTCCCCTTGCTTGTCCCTCTGTACTGCTGCTGGGGGTTACATCCCAATACAAATCGCCCCTTTGACCCCAGTTCTTCAAACATCTGGATGCACACTGTGTGTGTTCTGTGCCATCAAGTCAGAAGCAACTTATAACAACCCTAAAAGGGCTTTCAAGGCAAATGAGATATTGAAAGAGTGGTTTTACTACTTCTACTCTGCCACTGAGTTTCCATGGCCAAATGGCGATTCAAACCCTGTTCTCCAGAGTCCTAGTCTGTCACTCTATCCAGTAAACCTCATTGGGAATCCCCGGCCACATACTAGCTGTATTTAAATAGTTTGTTATACCCCATATAGTGGATAGTGATGGATAAGATGCATAATTTTTTTTTCTAAAAGGCAGAATCATTTTATTTTTGGCAAGAGATACATAGGCAAAAGCCCTGGTGTAGGTGTAGTGTATCCTCTGCTGAAAGAGAAACCTGTTCTCTAATATGGCGTGTTAGAGCAAAGCATGACAGAAGGGGAACAAAATGCAAGATTTTCTTGTTCAAGCAGGAGTGTTGCTATGGAGCCTGCTTATTTTGAGCAATGTGTAAACACCATGGCAAGCTTCTGTGGATAGTTCTCACTGTTATTTTAGTTTAATGCCAAGAACCTTGTCGTACCTTGCAGACTAACAGAGCACTTACCTCTGTGGTCATCTCTTGGCATATGGAGATAACAGCTGACAAAAAAGTATTTTTCTCAGTTCCTGACGAACATTTGTTAACTAGCAGAAAGCATGTCTTTTTCTAGAATAAGGGCAGGCAATATGCAACCCCTTCAGATGTTACTGGAGTGCATCTCTCATCAGCTCTGGCCATTATAGCCAATGAAGAACGCTGGGTGTAATACTTCAGCCCTTAACTGGAGGGCTGCTCTTTGCTCATCCTTTTCTGGATGCAGGAGATGTCTTGGCATCAAATTATGTATTTATGTGTTTCTGTTTCACACAGAGTAGGCTGTAGTTCATCATAACAATTTCTTTTTTTAAAATTTTTATTAATTAAATTTCATACAAAAAACCATAAAACACTAAAAAATAAGGAAAATAGGAAAAAGACAGAAACAGGGAAACAAGAGGAAAAAAAACCAGACTACGTATACAGGACAAAGGAAAAAAAAACCCTAACTTGAAGTACCCCCACCCCCCTTTGGAGTCAAAGATTCCAGCCTCATTAACCCCTCTATTCTCCCAATATCAGTTTGTAGTGTGTACTAATTAGTTTATACATATATCATCAATTTCACCCTAAAACTCCTTCTTCTGGGCCCATCATAACAATTTCCACAATGCAGTTGATTTTGTTGCAGCTACCTAGATTTTGAATGCATTATCATGGAAGACAATGAAATGTATTTTATTTTATTTTATTTTACATTCAAGTCTTCAAAACCAAAAACCAGAATTTACACTGGCCTGGAAATGAAAAGTGTAAACAGTGGAGAATATATGTAAATGTTACACGTCTGCCTCATCCAGCTGAATTTTTCAACAATTGTCCATAACCTCAGCAGCAGAAAGAATACAGAGGGTACCTTACTATACTTCATTTCTACATCATATACTTTCAACAGGCACACAGAATTCAGTGGGACTTGGATTAGTCACAGTTCGGCTGTGAGGAATATGCACAAAATATAGCAAGCTGCCACACATAAATCAACATATTTTTTTCATTTCAGCATATACTTCCCTAAATGGAGAATGTTGCCTCAGTTTTTCCTGGATGTGGACAACTGCACTTGTAATATTAACTGTCTAAATCCTATCAACATTACAGTTTAAAATAAAGCAAAATGTGTCATTTAAGGTAAATTTTATTTAGCTTTATAGGTTATAAAAGTTTACATTGATCTATTATGAAATTTATAAACAAATTAGGAAAACACTTCTCTTTGGATGTGAGCCATTTCCATGCACAGAATACAAAAATTAAAAAATGTACAAAGATTTAATATGACAATGCTATTTGAAGGTACAGAGGGGTTTTTTTTACAACATATACAGTTGCTAACATGCTTTGAAACAAAAAAAAAGAGATTTGATCTAGATTGGCTATGAATTGTGTCATAATCAGTACAAATAACCATCAGAAATCTGTTTTCATGGAGGAAACGAAGATGGTCTATTAAGACTCTGATCCTGCAGTCTCATCAGCAATATCTTTTATTTGGAATGAGTAACACTCCAAAGGAGAGTTCAGAGATGCTTGTAAGGCTTCCCAGTTAGGATGAATTAATATTTTACAGGGTTTCCACACAAAAGAAGAAGTGTGGGCCTAGCAATGTCAATAGACAACCATCCTAGTCCTTGAGATAATGCGAAAGTTGAATGAGTAACTGGCTTTCCAATGTGCATTTTATATGAATATTAAGTGATCATGAAATAACTGCTTCATCCACCCACATCCTACCTTTGTGTTAAAATATGTGAATGGTTAATAAACACTTCATTTATACTAGTTCTTTAAATGAAACTAACAGTTCTAAAATCGAAATATCTACTTTTTCTGGTTATTTGAGGGCCATACTGATGTTCAGAGAATAGCTTATATTGCACAGATGATTTTTTCCCCATAGTCCCCAGACATAATCACTTGGTTCTTTGTTGTTTTCTCCTTGATTAAAGAGAGTCACAGTACCTCTGAAGTTTGTTCCAACAGGTTACTGTATTTTCGAATGTTTTCTGATGGTGGCTAATGCGATACCTGTGTAGCTCACAACAGTGTTGCTCTCCAGTTTCATGGTTCGAACTCTCCCTCATTCCTTTTTCCAGCAGGCGGTTGAAGCTATATTTGAGGAAAGAACAATCGGACAGGATTTTGAAAGTAATTGTAATAAAAAACAACATTAAGAACCAACATAAAACATCACTGTTGAAAATTTAGGGGATGAGTGTAGATGTAGCTAAAAGAAGGCCTACAAAGATAGAAGGAATAGGCCATGATGGTCAGGTGTTCAGAAGTATAGGGTGACCATATGGAAATGGATAAGTTTTTTTAAGAAAGAAAATTTCAGTAGATGCAGCTTTTAATGAAACTACACCTACTGAAATGTCCTCCACACTACTATTAAAGACACAATAACCCTGTCCTCTTTTTTTAAAAACCAACAAAATGCAGTTACAGAGTAGAGTGGTCAATAACCAGGAGAACAAAGCTCCTATACTTTTCACAACTGTATGGAGAGCAGGAATTTTGGCATGTGTAGCTGGTCATGCAAGTTACATCTATGGAAATTCCCTCTTCTACATGACTATTAAAAGTGCATGAGCCTTCTCTCTTTGTCATGATGCCTCCCTAAGATGGAATTGAGTTTCTTGGCATTAGACATGGTTGACTTGCTCAATGTGCATTCCTCTTAGAACCCAACAGTACAATGTAACATTTTGTCACATACTCAGTTTAAATACATGTTACAATCCTGCCTTGAGCAGCCTGTGCTTAATAGAACCTAAAAAGGAAGAGAATGGTAACCTAAAGTAAACTAGAGTCATTGAACTGTACTCACATTATGTTTTAAGAGCAACAGTCACAGATGTGCTTGCTCTCCTTGATTTAGGTCAGGTAAACAGGGTATGTTTACTCAACCCTTTCCTTAGTTTGTTTGCAAACCAGTTAAATAGGTAAATTATTCAAACAACACCTGCTTCTTTGCAAATGCTTATGAGGAGCCTGAAAGTCTGACTGTGAACAGCTGGGACCCTCAAAGGGATAATACTTGAGCAAACACAAAAATTGTTGCATATCCAAAAGAGTCTGTTAGGCAGATGGACAGCTTGCAATGTGTATAGGACTGGATTTATTTAGGGGCTTTGGCCAAGCATTCTATTGAAACTAGCATCATGCCCAATTCTTGTATGCCTTAGTTTTCTGTTTGTGAAAATGCATAATGCATGCTTAGGTGAAACAAGCTCTGCAAGTGGGGTATATTGGCTAAATAGTAATCTAGGTTCCGTATAGTGCTTATACAAAAACAAACAAATCCGTGAATAGGGTAGGATTGATTTAAGGGAAACCTCATCTAATCCATCCCTATAAAACTGTGGTTCTAACCTTGGGTCCCCAGGGTTCTTAGACTAAAAGTCCCAGAAGCCTTCACCACTGGCTGTGCAGACCAAGATATCTGGGAGTTGTGGTCCAAGAACACCTAGGGAACATTCATTAAGGCATCAGGTTGTACATATAGCGGTAGATTCTAAGCTTTTCAAACCACACGATTTAAGCCCAAGCAAATAGAGTACTACTATGTTTTTCCCAGAGTGAAAACTGTATATGGGGTGTGTGCATGTATTTTTAAAAAATGTGCTTAAACTTAGGGTCTCCCTGGGGACTACATGAGGCTCATGCCTGCCCTAAAGTAGAGGCAGCTTCGGATGGGAGCAGGGAAACACACACTTAATTTCTGGATACAATACCTCTCTGCCCCACTCAGTCCATGAACATATGCCCTAAAGTATGCTGGCTACTATAATTAATGTGATAGATGGAGGATACAATGCTCAGTACATCCAAATGCATTTTGGGAGATAGGGATGTCATTATAGTTAAATACAGAGCAAATATAAATTTTTAAAATAGACTTTCCCTCCACATCTATCTTTCTCTTTCTCATTAAATGTAGGAAGCATCAGGTGTTATAAACATTTGGACTGAATACTGGAATGCTATAGCCCAGGAATTCATCCTATATTTGTCTCCTCTATTTTACAGCTGATAGAATTGTAAGTGATGTTTCCTGGTGAGAAGAAAAAGCATGCTGATGTTGAAATTTATTGAATGAACAAAGCTTTTGACATTTGATTGGTCGAAACAAACCACAAGAGCACGGCTGTGTCTGTTCTTTAAGTGAATGTTATGGTGCTACTGAAGGGATCTGTCTGTGTTTCACCCCTTTGGGTTAAAGGGGAGTGATTTAGACTCATCCTCTAGAGATGATGGATTACAATTCCCATCATCTTCAAGTGTGACTGGCAGGTGCTGCAGGCCATTGCTTCTGGAGGGCACAAGTCTGGGGAGAATGGATTTTTGAGTACATGAGGATTTAAATGAATTTCTGTACATATTCCTATACATTTAAATAATTGTTTTAGCTATTTTGCAGTGTAACCCCTTCTGGATCATTACATAACGTGGTCTATCATGTGTCGAAAGCCTTTGTTTAAGCATCCAAAAGGAAAGATGTAATTTTATGGCGACTACAGAATTTTCATGACCGGGTACTTGAACACAGTATCGTCTTGTCAATAATTGAGAGTTCATTATATTGTAATACTCCACGGACAAGGATGACATGGGATACATGCTATTACTCTTTCTTCTCCCTGTTAAAGTCACTGGGCCTACTTGCATTTGTGGGCTAGCTTATGGCTCTGATCTTTTATGCCTCTTATCCTTTCTGCAGGCAATTCATCCTCATCCCACAAGGCCAGAGATTTTAAAGCTGTGTTTGAAGCCACTGCTGTGGTAAAGAGTCTGAGAGGAGAAATGTAGGCTCCTTTTATATAATTGTAAAATTAGGCCAGTGCAATGACTGAACACATCCGAAAGCTGAGCTGATTTTTCCATTATCAGTTTAAATGGTGCTCCTACAAAAGCAGGTGATGAAGTACCCCAAAGGCACTCCTCTTTATCATTGAGCTGCTGTGCAACAGATTCAAATTTTTCAATAATCCCCATGTTGACATGTAATTCCACCCACCCAAATTTGATAATTATTGTAAGAATTGACATATCTTTATTTCTAAGTACCTAAATGGGGGCTGGGGTTGGAGAAGGGCCTCATGAGCCATCAGTGGACTGATATGGACTGTGATGAAGGAAGTACTGTATACAGGCCAGGCATAACTGCATTTGAGTCTGAGGTGCTACTTAGGGTGCCCTTCTATGTTACTTTACATGAGACAGTCCCCTCTTTGAAGATGTCCTCTATTTGAAGGGCCATCCAAGTCCTCACTTGAGTAAGATATAATTCCTTTTAACTGGTAACATTATGAAACATTTCTAATTTCCCAATTGCATATAGATCATTATATACCATGTTATGCAAATTACATAATTTAACATTCAGTTTAAATTACATGTTACTCCTTCATTTATAGAGGGTACTGGCTGTGACCTGTTGGCCAGTTAAGAACCACAGACATATCCCAGGGGTGTCGATTCCTTCTTTTCCTGTTCTTGCACATGTGAATGAGAAATGGCACATTTTTTCTCCTTTCCTTTTAGAGGGTGAACTATTGGATGGTACTTGTTTACAAGGGTTTTCACATTAGTGGAAATGATGTCTATGTAGATTGCACAAACTGTTCAAAACTGTGATAGTTGCCACCTTGCTGCATGGGCTTTCTGAAACTGGAAGCACTGGGTTGGTTGTTCTCATCTTTCTAAGCAAGCAGCTAGTGCTTCTGTGCTTGCTTTGTGTGTGCACATGCATGCACACACTTCACAAACAAAACAGTAGTTTTGCACAAACATTCTAGGCAAATTACCAAATTTTCATTAAAAAACACACCTCTCACTCCTTGTTTCATTCTTATGCTGGAAGAACTCATGGAGGTAATGAATTTCTTGACAGGCTATCACGGGAATATTTTGCAAAGCCTAGGCTAGCCTTATCCAACCCTACATCCTCCAGGTGTGTCGGACTAAAATCTAGGAGTGATGGGACTATGCAATAGTTCCACCTACTTGGAGGGTGATTCTGCAAATGTTTGATATATGAGGAAATTAGTGTTCTTCTGAATAGTTACTTTAGAAAATATATGCCTCCCAAACAAGTCACCTTGTTACTAACACACATGCAGAAAGCTGCCAGATCTGCAACTCTGTACAGAAGCACCAAGAAATCTTTACAAGCACATCTGAAATGTTGAGACCCAGGCTACCCCTTTCCTGGCTTGACATGAAAAACAGATGACTTCTGCAATTTAGAATGATTTGTCCCTACTAGGTTATGGTAAACGCCATGTGTTTGCACTCAACAGTCTGTTACGAGCATGCAACTCCCTAAATGGAACCAGCTACAAAATTGCTTTTAGTTCTGCAAATAGATATCGAGTATGTGGCACAAGGGGAGGGAAAATCCATCTAAGTGCATATTTATCACCCATGCTTAGCAGTATCAACTCCAGTGCATTATATTTTCAAGACACATTAGAGACTGTCTAGATTGCAACCATGAAACACTGGGAGTGGGGCTGATGGAATCACTTTTGAAGTAGTACCTAAGGGAGGTGTCTTTCTCCAGATTCAGAATTCCACTGTGCTCCCATATCCCTATGTTGTGAGAAATTGCTATATAGCTTCCTGTTGATACCACCTGAGCTCTCAATAATCTGCCGTGATTCTGAAAACATCACACACATGAAGTTTGGCATGCTGTACTAGTTTAATTGTCTCTATATATGGATACTACAGACTTCTCGAAAACCTAACAACAAGATTTTTTTAAAAAATCTTGAAGAAGTCATTATGCAGGCAGTGAGAAGGTTTTAAAATGTATTATTTATAATGTTGCACATATAGTTTCCTGCAATCTCTCCCTCTCTTAGGGCAGGTAAGGAGTCATAAACAGGGAGTCAAACAAGAGCATCAAGAAAGACCACCTAGATTAGGCGTAATGACCAGATAGGCGGGTCGTGATGACCAGATAGGCAGGGAATGAATGAATGAATGAATGAATGAATGAATGAATGAATGAATGAATGAATGAATGAATGAATGAATGAATGAATGAATAGGCTACTAAAAAGAGAGCATGAATTTCTATGTGTTTCTGTGTGAAACTG